GTTTTTGCAACTTTCTTTGAAAAAGCATAAGTTGGATTTTTTTCTCATTATAATAGTAATAGCTTCTTGCTATAGAAAATTTGGAATCTACAGAGAAATGATTAGAAAAACACAATCATCCATGTGACCATCAACAAAACTTTTTTTAAGTTTGATATTTTGTGCATAATTACATACATATGCTCGTATTAAACAAAGAAATTTATATCTTAATTTTGAACTTAATATTATACCATAAGCACCTTTACATTATTTTAACATTTTAAACATTATTTTAAATTGGCCGTATAATATCCAGTGTAGTAGATTAAATTTATGCAACTCTTTACTATTGGACATGTTATCTATTTTTGATTTTTCTTTTTCTGAATAAATTCTGCTACAGGAAATATTTTTGTGCAAAACATTTTCTTTTTGCTCATTAACTCGAGATCAGTTCTCAGAAGAGGGAGCAGAAGGCTAAGGAAGTTAAGCTGCTTTCTCAAGACTGTGGGATTTTCAGGGAGCGTGTAGGGCACCCTCGTGGTTACATGCAGGGGGAACTGGGGTCATGAGGAGTGAGGACCTGAAGGAATTCTGCCTTCATGTGGTGTGGGGCCTGCCGCCCACTCAGAGCAAGTGATTGCGAAAGAGCTGGAGTGTCAGGCATATGTCTTGTGGCCCTCCCTTGCCCATCACATCTGCCTTTTCTGCAGCAGAGGATGCTGATGAGCTGTGCCATCCACATGCTTCCAGACACGGCTGACCACGCCACCAAGGTGACGTTGTCCACCTGCCCTTTGCTGCTAGAGGGGACGCTGGAGACACCCCAAAGCTACTTTCCAGCTACTGTAGGAATCCAGCTGCCCAGGTCCCTGTTATAAACATGCTGCTGCTGATATTAATTCCTTGCTATTTCCTGGCCTCTTATTGGCAGGATGAGCTTATTCATCTGTCTTCATCTATCTGCCCCGGACAGGGGTGGCTGTGTTCCTTCCCACAGGGTGCATAATTGTGATAACCATCATTAGGCAAGTCCTTGATGAGTAACTGTTCAGAATAATTAAGCCCCTTAATGGGATGGAACCTGGATTAATGAATGGACTGGCGGCCTGCAGGCCTGCATAGCAGATCCTCCTGGCTGGTGTCAGGCGGGTGATCTTTGTTGCTCATTGCCCACAAGGCAGGTGTTCTCCGCTAAGTTCCTGGACGTGTGGCACTGCCTGACTTCCCAAAGCTGTGACTGATCCTTGCCCTCAGGACACTTGTGAACGCACATGTAGGCCACCATCTTCTTGCTTTGGATGAGGTATTCCATGTTCCACAGACATGTCCAGAGAGCTGCTGGGGCCTCTGGCCCCCTTTAGGGGCTCTACTATCTCCCTCGAGTCCAAGCCTCACCATGGAGCTCATCACTGTCCTATCTCATAAATGCCTGAGATATTTCCATTTTTCCGATCGCCACTGGCACCACCCTGTCCCACCGGACCACACGCTAACCTGATTGTTCATTCAGCCTCCAGCCCTGACCTGTACCAGTCCTTCTTCAATTTGTAGTCAGAATTTTTTTTTTAATTTTTTTAATGATTTATTTATTTTAGAGCACACCCAAGTTGGGGGAGGGGCAGAGGAAGGGCATCTTCAAGCAGGCTCCATGCCCAGTGTGGAGCCTGATGTGGGGCTCCATCTCACAACCCTGAAACCATGACCTGAGCCAAGACCAAGAGTCGGATGCTTAACTGACTGAGCCACCCAGGTACCCCAGAAGTTTCTTTTAGAACAGAAAAACAGAGATTCAATTATGTTCTTCCCTATGTAAAATCCTTCAGAGATCCACAGAGCTTTCCAGACAGGGTCCAAATTCCATCCAGGCTTACAAGAATCTCTTACTTAGTTCTCAGGCCTGGAACATTTTTTCCTTCCTCCCTTCCTTTGGGGGACTTTCCCTGTGTGCCTTAGGCTGGGTTATTAGTGCCTGCTATATTGTCCCCAGGCCTGTACCTCCTCCACCCTGGCATCTGACACACTGGGCTGTATTTAATTACTTATCTCCAGCACTTATAAAGGTCCCTGGCACCTAGCAAGCACCCAGTAAATATGTGGAATGAAATTGCTTAAAATACCCTTCTCTCTGTTCTGGGTGTCCTTTTATTTGAGAATAATCGTTGATGCTGACAAATATACAAGTAAGTAATACGTCTTTGTTTATATTCCTGGCAAACTTTATGTATTTCAGTAAGTGTGGTAAGTAAATAAAATTTCAGTAAGTTTTCTAAATGGAAAAAAAAATTCAGCAAATTCAGTAAATATAGTAAGTAAGAGATCAATCTTGTAGATAATTGAACTAATTGGTTAAGTAAGTAAACTAGGAAATTGAGTCCAGAGGGGATCCACGCATATGTGGTTTTGTCTCTTAAATCATAAATTAATGATAAAATCAAGGCAAGTATATTGCTTTAAAAGGACATCATGGCTTAAAATAAATCCTAGCCTTGTTTTCTCGTGACTGCATCATCAATTGCTTAATATCTTTAATCAGTCCTTTGGAACTTTTTTTTTTTTTTTTTAAGAAATGCAAGAGTTTTATTACAATCATTATTATTCTCGAGGTTCACAATTGATGAATTCATTCAGGAAAATATTTTGCATGTAATGATTTAGA